GATGCTAAATGAAAGAATCCAGTCATGAAAGGCCACATATCGCATGATACCACTTATGTAAAATGTTCAGAATAAGCAAATCCATCGAGTGAGAGAGCAGAGTAATAGTGCCCTGGGGAGAGGGTGGGGAGTGGAGTGTGTGGAGGTGGGAATACGTGACTGCTAATGTAAATGAAGTTTCTCTTGGAGGAGTTGAAAATGTCCAAAAGTTAGATGTTGGTGCTGGTTGCACAACTCTGTGAATATTCTAAAGACCACCGAACTGTATGGTTTAAATGGGTGAATTTTATGGTCTGTAAAATATATCTAAATAAAGCCATGAAAAATTGAACATGATAAAAAAAAATAAAATACAGATAAAGGGCTAAGACTCCCTCCCCCCCCCAATAAAACTAAGTTGATGGCTTTGGCAGCCAATGGAAAAAAATTCAATTGAACAGTGCAAGAAAGGCCCTTAAAACCATGTTAGGTTCACAGGACTCTCAAAGTCTGTTAACATGTTTGTGGGCTTCTCCTTTGCTTCAACACTGTTTATCTCAGTAACATCATTCACTGTTAATATCTCAGCTAAAAATATAGTTTCCTTAGAGAGTCTTCCTTACCCATCCTAATCCCTGAGACTCCAAACTAAGCATTGACATCCAATCATACATCTCATAGCCTCACATTTTTGTTTTATTGTTACAGTATGTCTAACTGTGTGTCTCATACTCCATGTTAGATTTATGGGTTTTAAGACCATGTTTACTTTCTTTTTTATTGTATCTTCAGAGCCAACCACAGAGCCTGTCACAAAAGATTTGCATCGACATGGATGGAACTGGAGGGGATTATGCTAAGTGAAATAAGCAGGCAGAGAAAGACAATTATCATATAGTTTCACTCATATGTGGAACATAAGGAATAGAGTGGAGGACCATAGGGGAAGGGAGGGAAAACTGAATGGGAAGAAATCAGAGACGGAGACAAACCATGAGAGACTCTGGACTCTGGAAAACAAACAGGGTCACAGAAAGGAGGGGGTTGGGGAATGGGGTAACCAGGTAATGAGTATTAAGGAGGGCATGGTTGGGATGAGCACTGGGTGTTATAAGCAACTAATGAATTGTTTAACACTACATCAAAAACTTATGATGTACTATATGCTGGCTAACTGAACACAATAAAAAAAAAGAGTCACTCAATATTTGTTGATGAATGAATAAATGAATTTATATAATAGTTTTATATTCCTAAGGACTAATGCATTTTTTATTCTCTCTCTTGCTCAGCTGCTGGATCCACCCAGGCAAGAGATTTATATGGAGCTTCCTTGGACCAGTGTGTGCCATCTTCTCTGTGAGTAATGATGTCATTACTAGGTATATACACCAAACAAATGGTTTACGAACAAATCAAAACTGATTATATTACTAGGTATATACCCCCAAACAAATGGAAGCACACGTTCACACAGAAACTTGTATATGAATGCTCATAGCAGCATTATTCAAAGCTGGAAACAACTAAATGTCCATCAATTGATGAATGGATAAACAAAACGTGACATATCTATCCAGCAGAATATTATTTAGCATTTAAGCATCCTTAATGCTCTCACTCGATGGATTTGCTTATTCTGAACATTTTACATAAGTGGTATCATGCGATATGTGGCCTTTCATGACTGGATTCTTTCATTTAGCATCATGCTTTCAAAGTTCATCCACATTGCAGCACATTTTTATGGATGATTAATATTCCTTAGTCTTATATTTTATTATATTCAACTAGCCATGGCTAAATAATATTCTGCTGGATAGATATGTCACGTTTTGTTTATCCACTCATCAATTGATGGACATTTAGTTGTTTCTAGTTTTGAAATTGCTAAATAATATTGTTTAGCATTTAAGCATCCTTAATGCTTAGCTGGGAGTCATTAGAAAAGCAAAACTTTAAGGGTGGTGACAGGGGCAGGCATGTCCCTGGATTGTCACGGCATTGTATGGTTTTCTAAGACTGCTCCTAAAACTACAAACTCTAACACTCTTGCTTAATATGGAAACGACTTAAATGTGGAATTGATGTTGGACAGGCTAGGATACAGATCACAGATTGAAATTTTATTGAATAAACCTTCTGTGGTTTCTTGAAGGTCAATTTACCTTTTGTTCTGATGACTCTCTGGATTTTGAAAAGCAAACTGTCTTCCCTCAACAGTGATGTATCCACTCTCCAGAATAAAAGATAAGATTGAGAAGAGAGTGACAACCCCACAGACATGTGGGTGGTCCTAAGGACAAAGCCATGTGCCTCAGCAGTCCCTGATGCTTCTTCTTGAGGTCTGCTAAAGGGACCTAGAGCAGAGAGATGCAGCTATCCTTCTATGGCAGCTGGCTCAGATTCAGTAGTGTGCTTCTGACACCCTGGCCAAAATATTATGTCTATTCTTTTTTTTTTTTCCTTCAGACAGAGAGAGAGTGTGGGAGAGGGGAGGGCAGAGGGAGAAGGAGGGAGAGAATCTTAAGCAGACTCCATGCTCAGTGTGGAGCCCAACATGAGGCTCAGTCCTATGACACTGAGATCATGACCTGAGCTGAAATCAAGACTCAGATGCTTAACTGACTGAGCCACCCAGATGCCCCTGTTCTATTTATAACCTCAGTTTGTAACTCCGTCAGCAACAGAAAGAATTGGCATTGGTTAATAAACATTCTTTGGACTTTTGCCAGCAATCCTATGACACATGTGCAGAGAACATTTATATTCCCATGAAGCACTTAGAAAAACCTGTGATTGCTCTCACAACCCAACCCACACTTCCACACTCCATACTCAGTTCAGGCTTCTTCTGACCCCTCTTCCATTCCTCTCTGTGGAGAAAATCATAGTCAATGTCAAATCTTCTGGGAGGCTTGGGCAGTCCTTTGCTCCAGCAACCTTTGTGCAAATTTAATGCTATTTCTTCTATGTTCCTATTATTATCCTCTCCAAATGAAAATAGAAATCTTGTCCTTGTTATTTTTAATGCCCAGGTCCCAGCTCAGAGACTGATGCAAAATGCCTCCTCTGTAGTGTTGGATGAATGAAATTCAGGATCACCATGGAGCGTCATAAATTTTTGAAACTTACATTATGAAGTATCCCTATCTTCCTCAATCCGAATCAAAACTCCACCCAGGTCCCTCGTGGCATTTTTTTTCCTCTAGGGAATCATAGACAGTAAATATCAAAGCAGATCACAAGTCAGTATGAGAACTCATCACCAACAGGGAAAGAAAGGAGAATCCATAGGGTAGAGAAGAGAATGGTTGTCATTGTGTTGCCCTGGGTGCATCATGAGCCTCCTTTCTTGTCCAATCCAGGATGCTGACATTTAAAACCACAGCTCAGCTCCTCATCCTGGGCTGCACCTGGTGCCTGGGCATCCTGCAGGTGGGTCCAGCTGCCCATGTCATGGCTTACCTCTTCACCATCAACAGCCTGCAGGGCTTCTTCATCTTCTTGGTGTACTGCCTCCTCAGCCAGCAGGTACCACTGCCCAGCTCCCACCCAGCAGTCTTCCTATCCTCACTCCTCTCAGTGAGCTGATCCAGAGCGTATTTGCCTCTGCAGGTCCGGGAGCAATATGGGAAATGGTTCAAAGGGATCAGGAAAACAAGAGCTGAGTCTGAGAAATACTGTCCAGCAAGGCCATGTCTGATGCCTCCAAACCCAGCACTGTAAGATCAGGCATTGCTCCCAGAGCGCTTTACTAAGTGATCTGCTTGAGTACCATATGCTTATCACAATGAACACCTTTAGAGAGCAGCAGATGATGCCCTAGGGTGGCTCACACTTGGTTTGCTTTTAGACTCTTTACCTGTTAGTTTAATGTTAATAATTTAGCTGTTAATTAATTATTAACTTTTGGACTCCTCTATGAAGATGGTGCTTCCACCTGCTCTTTGGATCCCATCATTCATGCCTTCTCAATTATCTTTAACTATTAGCAATGGCCTTTTTTTTTTTTTTTAAAAAAAGGTTTGTTTAAGAATATATTTTGCTCCTTAGGAAACCGTGTTCATCTTAACTCTTACACATCAACACTCATGAAACACCTGCTATATGGCTGGCATGGCTAACTAAGTAAACAAGAATCAGTGATCTGAAGCAGTGATGCACATTCAACTCAGGCCACATTATCCTATCCTTTTTCTCTACATCCACCTGTATCTCACAATTACTGAGCAGCAAGTCCCAGAAAGGCAATCATGGGGGAGACTGATGTTCATATTTATAAATTAAACAGAAGAGTTAGCTGGCATTTTGGACTTTCTCATAAGAATGCCTGATATTTTCAGCACTCTCTACTCACTGCAAAACCAGGAAGGAAAAGCAGTAATGGCATGGTAAAATTCATGGGGATGGTTATTCAGAACCAAACTTACTGGTTTAGATTGAACCAAGTTCTTTGCCTATGGTTTCTTTCCTCTTCCATTTTCTGTTAAAGACTCCCCTGAGTCTCCCTTCCCATCTAAAGGAACCTACTCTGCTGCCAGGAAGTCCTCCTGCATGATCTTCTTCACCCAACCCCCACTGGCACTGTTTCTGCCACTGAATCTTCTGTGTTCTCCCCCTTTCTCAGCAAATGTTCTTACCACTTATTTCACAGAGATAAATGGAGTTATCGTGATGACACCTTGTGAACTCTATGCAGTTGGCCATACCAACCAAATATCAGCATGCATCCTGTCCACATTTCCGGATCATGGATGCAGTTTCTGTGTTCCTCTAGGAAGAGTGCTTCCATCTGCTCTTCGGATCCCATCCTTCACACCTTATCAATTATCTTTAAATTATTGTTCACACATTCTCCTCTCTCTCCCCTTCCCTCTGGCATCATCTCAACAGTATTTCTCCCATAGTCATGGAAATATGTTTGGTTCTCTTCTATCTTAAAAACATGTACTGCCTGCCCCCCCTTTACCTACCAGCCAAGAGTTGACTTCTCTGTCTCCATTTCCTTGCCTTAAACTTACTCCTTCCCTCAACCCTTCCAAATATGGCTTCTTTCCCCCATCATGCCACCCTAACAAACATCTCTTAGACATACAATGATCTCCAAGTCCCTAAAAGTTTTCTCAGCAACTTGTGACACTATTCATCCTTTCTCATCCTCATCCTCATCTGGTCTTACACACGCTTCTATGTCATTCTTCCATTCTTTCTAGCTTTTCTGTCTTTGTTTCCTTTATAGCTCCATCCAATGGATCAGTTCCAGAACAACTTCAGTCCTCATTAAATTCTTTCCTCCTGGACAATAGCATCTATTCTTTAGATTAGTTACCACTAGATACAAATGACGGCCATGTATATTTCTCTAGTTCTGATCTCTGAGATCTAGACAAGTATTTCCAGCTTCTTATTTCTCATATCTTGAAGACACCTTTAGCTCAGTCTTCCAGTAGAAGACTTGTAATATTTACCCCAATTAAATCCTTTCCCATGATGTCTTTCTCTCTCTGGATGGCACTACATCCATCCTGTGGCACAAGTTTGGGCCATAAAAGTTACTCTCAAGAATGATTTTATTTCCCACCACAGCCTATGCATTATACAATCCTTGTTTTACCTTCTTAATATGTTCCCAGTATGTCCTGCTGGCTCAATCTTCATCACTCCTCCTTAGCAGGCTGCCATCTTTGCTTGGCTGAACAACTGCAGTATACCCCTTGTCACCTTCCCGTGTATCCTTTACACACAAGTTGGAGGGATCTTTTCAAAACACACAAAAAATCATGTCACTACTTTGTTAAACTCCTTACATTTAGGATCAAACCCCAAATCCATAAATCAATGAGTATTTGCTTGGGTTGTCTCCTGCTTTCCTCTCAAGCTTCATCTACCATAAACTCGCCATTATTCTGACCACATTAGATTTCTTTCAATATTTTTTAAAGATTTGTTTATTTATTTGACAGAGAGAGGGAGAGAGAGTACTAGCAGTGGGAGTGGCAGGCTGAGGGAGAAGCAGGCTTCCTGCTAAGCAGGGAGCCTGACGCGGGACTCAGTCCCAGAACCCTGGTATAATGACCCAAGCCAAAGGCAGATGCCCAATCAACTGAGCCACCCAGGTGCCCTTCTTTTAACTTTTTAAATTCACTGTGCCTCTTTGGAGCAAAGGCTTTGCACATATTCCCTCTCCTTGAAACACTCTTTTGTTTTCCTTGACACAAAACTATGTAGGTCTTCAGATCTCAGTTCATGTGTCCATTCCTCAAAGAAGCCCTCTCTTCCTGCTTATATTAGGTCAGATTCTCTTGTTTTTCACTCTGATAGCCCCTGTACCTTTCCTGCAGAGCACTTGTCAGAGTCATTTACTCTTGGTTTTCACTGTTTGATTAGTGTCTGTCTTCCCTCTGGTGTCAGCTCAACAGGCACCATGTTGGTTTTTCCCTCTAATGTATCCCCAGAATTTCACTCAGGGCCAGGCACATAGAAATCAGTGCTCAATACATAATTGCTGCATGACTGATTAAATTAAATGAACAAAGTGCTGTTGCAGAAGGTGCAGGAACTGTCGTGCTCACCAATCTCTTTCCAACTTTCCAAGTGGTCAGTAATTATCTAGTGAGCAAATAAGTGAATGAATAAATGAATGAATGAATTGCCTGACCATGAGGGGAGTAAAACAGCTGAATAAACTACTGATTAGTTTAGGATGCCCCTTTCTCTTATGAATTTCAAGATAATTCTCTTCCCTGTGGTCTTATTACTGACCATCATGTCGTCTTATTAAGACCCCTATAGTTCCTGATGATCTAAGAGCATAATGTAGAACTTAGTTCTCAGACTGAAACAAGCCTGGAATGAAATACCAGCTCTCTCAAGTGATTGATATGTGAACTTGGTCAAATTGCTAAAAATTTTAAATCATCCATTGCTGCCGTCCTCTCTCTCCTACACATGAGAGAGTTTTCGTAGATTCACTCAATCAGTACTAATTATTTGCTTCCATGTGTAGGTTTTGGATGGCTCATGCATTGGTGGGAGGGGGCTGAACATCTTCCACACACATTGTAGATGTTGATTCAGCCAAGGAGGGGAATATAACCAAGCAGGAGCTAATGCAGCATCCCTCAGTACAGCTGATGCCATCACACAAGCAGAGGGATCAAGACATACATCTTGAAACAGATCTTTTTTTTTTTTTTTTTCAGTAGCACGTTTCATTGCTCTTATCTTCTGTAAGTTGGGGGTTAGGAAATGTAGGGAGATGGGACTTCTGGGGAAGACCAGGGTCTCACATAATGTAATCTGATATGGCCTTTTTTATTTTATTTTTTTTATTATGTTATGTTAATCACCATACATTACATCATTAGTTTTTGATGTAGTGTTCCATGATTCATTGTTTGCGTAAAACACCCAGTGCTCCATTCAGTACGTGCCCTCTTTAATACCTATCACCAGGCTAACCCATCCCCCACACACCTCCCCTCTAGAACCCTCAGTTTGTTTCTCAGAGTCCATAGTCTCCTGTGGTTCATTTTCCCCTCCGATTTCCGCCCCCTTCATTTTTCCCTTCCTGCTCTCTTCTTCTCCTTCTCCTCCTTCTCTTCTTCTTCTTCTTTTTCAACATATAATGTATTATTTGTTTCAGAGGTACAGGTCTGTGATTCAACAGTCTTACACAATTCACAGCATTCACCATAGCACATACCCTCCCCAATGTCCATCACACAGCCACCCCATCCCTCCCACCCCCACGACTCCAGCAACCCTGATTATTTCCTGAGATTAAGAATTCCTCATATCAGTGAGATCATATGATACATGTCTTTCTCTGATTGACTTATACTGCTCAGCATAATACCCTTCAGTTTCATCCACGTTGTTGCAAATGGCAAGAT